GGAGTGAGTGCGAGGCAAGGTCCCGCGAGCACTTTCTCATGCAAAAGTCGAACGGTTACTTTAATTCTTAGCTCGAGCACTTGTCGGTTTTACGAGCGTAGAGCGATTTAATCCACTTAAAACGCAGAGCACAAACTCTGAGCCGACAAAGCTCTCAGCCGCTCTCATTTAAAAATGGAAATAAACCTTCGGCCATCTTTGACTCTACGCGCAACCGCTAGTGGAATTCTAAGTGCGGGTATTCAACGATACATCTGCATTTTTTTACCCGATTGATAGATTATCCTTTATTGACTGTGTCTTTTGCAGTAAAAAAGTACTGGACATATTAACCTTATTTCTAATTAAATTCAGCTATAGTTAAACTTAGAAAAAAAAGTATAGACTATTTCTTCGATCCCGATATGATCAGTCGGTGTCCTAACTAAACAGTTGTTTTCAAACTATACATATGCCATGCATGAACACATGTTCATTGTAAAGAACTTAGTAAAGTTACAAAAACAAATACTTAGTCAAGACAAATAAAAACCCATCTTGTTTATTATTTGTTAAATTAAGTAATTATGAGCTCAAACCATTCATATACTTAATTATTACTCCAAACCTCTTAAAGACTGTCACTTTGTTTATAAGGGCCTCAAATATAAATCTTAATTTCTTTCCTATCTGCCAAGGAATTTCAAAAATTATCCTTCCTCCGTCCACGTCTTCTTCCTCATCTTAATGAAAGAGTTTTCCGTCAGGATTATTTCGACTTGTTTATTTTGCGTCCCACTCCGTCGGCGCTCAAAGTAAACTTCACTTTTGTCTTTGTATAACTTTTTATAGCGCTTTGTTGTCATTTGAATTGCCAATATATAATGCATCGGTATATGAAGAATATCAAGCTGCATTAGAGGCAAATATGCAAACGTTAGGTTTATTTTTGTACTTGTACTGACATAATTAAGTACTTTTATTGGCTGCCTTTCAATAATAATATTCAGCTATGTCCATGTTTTAAAATAAATATCTTTTGTCTATAAATGCATAAGAGTTATTGATACCAATATGAAAAACCATTAACGCTCATTTATTAGGTACAAAAGCGGCTAACACGAAATGTTTATCAAAATAATTGCTGAATGGCTAGTGTGAAGAACCACCTTACATTTTAAAAACCAAGTGTGTTAATGTTATTTATACAGTTGTTTAATAACATTTATAAGTTACGAGGCCTATTCTATTTAACCGACAAAATTGCACAAATCGGGGTCATCTAACCTTAAAATTTACTATAGCGATTATGTACAACTTACACGTCTAATACTCATAGTCATAAAGATTTTCAACAATTAAGTGCATTTACGTTCTGCTATATAACCACCTGTAATTGGATATCTGCTTAACTTATCATTGACTGTATTAATGTAGTTAAATATTCACATCATCATCATCCACAGCCTTTAATAGTCGAATGCTGAATATATGCATCTACTTAGAAAGGAGGTTTCGGCCTACTATACCACGCTGGCCAGGCAGGTTGGTATAGGGTTTATCTCAAGTTTTCCTTCTCTTTGCAGTGCTGTGGTCCTGTGTAGTTTGCTCCCTTAGACGGCTCTTACGACACCCAAGAGATGAATAGGGTTGATGACATTCCGTATTCTTAATCCGTCAGCAAGTTAAATCTTCATCATGATACAAAACCAATTACGGATCACCAAACATCTTTAAGTATTTAAAACCAGACTATAATTTGCTTAAGGTCTTAATTAACCTCCTTTCGAATCTTCCTTTTCCGAATCTTAACGGAAATTGCTGGGTGAGAACACTTCAGAGTAATGAGTCTAACCGTAATTAATATTTTTAGCAATTTCTTTAATTTTAAATTGTAATTAGTTTCAGTACCGTCATAGTACTACGAGTGAAGCGAAGCGAAAATACGTATTATTTACGTAACGATAATTTTTTACTGACACAGATGAACTAGCCTGATTAATCTTAAATAAAAAAGTAGAAATTATCTGCCGTTGTACAATATACGTATATTGGACCCCTACAATCTTATTTGGCGGTATTTAGATATTTTTAAAGACAACTTCTGATACGAGTATACAATATGTTTGAAAGCGATCTTGTTTTAGTCTAGAAGCGTTTATAGATCATGAAATGTAAACATTATGCAGTACTAATAACATTAAACACAAAACAAAAAAGTGATTGACGGCAATATGTAAGTATATATACATTGCAATATATTTTACACTTATAGAAGTATAATTCTGTGTGGTACAATGTAGCTTTCATAACTTCACACATCTTTCACGGCAATGCGGAACGATTGTGACAGCTTCACTCAAGGCCATCGAGGGTCAGTGTCTTTATAAGTTTCATTCGTTCAACAAAGGACTTTGTTCAATGTTTTGCTAAGTTTTATTAACTTTTGCTAAAGCAAAGTTTGCGTATTAAATTGGGCTTTATAATGCCTTAGCGATACAGACGGTTATTCGGTAGTACTTTAAGCATTCAACATTTAATTTAAATAAATGTTTATTGTTGTTGTTTTATAGCTGTTTATAAAATGTAAGTGCCTTGAAATGTTCAAGTGCTACGGGTATATTTAGAATGCAGTCGTAATAAAATAAAATCATTTATTTGCTACAAGCTGCTACGAACAGAAGCACGTGGCTTCTAATACGCATAAATGATATCTATACCGACTTCGGAAAAGGGAAAGTTCTGATTCGAGATTTTTTATGATTATTTATACCAGTGAACATATTAATGAATAGGTAGGTAAATATAATTCTGTAAACTTTTAGATAATTAATACATTTCTAAGTGTAGAATAGTACCCATCTTATAAAGGTTTATAGTAATGTGACTTCGCCTGATCTACCGGTTTAATTAAAAGCTTAATAGTAGTAGTTATCTACTAAAATGTTATAAAATTTATTTGTTATTTTATTTTTTATGAAACTACTGGTAATTTTCTGCACTTTATTGCTAGATGTCAATATTTACATAACTTCACATGTTAACGTACACCTGCAATATGCACCTGCATTGTTCTAATAACTATTAAACACACTCAGTTCATTTTATATTCTACTTTCTTGTTTTAAATTTATTTACATGTGTTTGCTAATAGGGTGTATGAAAACTTTAATGTATTTTAACCTAACGGAGCTGTAATTCCTTTATCATAATATGTTTACTGTATCACAGATATGGCGCTATTTAATTCTCATAGACTTCGGGCGAGAAATTGTCCTCTCACTGTCACATAAACACTCGTACTTATATAATTATATGTCTATTACACATCCTAATTAAAAAGATTAAAATGTCAACAACATCTTACATTAAGATTTTAAGTAGGTACTGAAGTCTATATTTTATTAAAGTTGTATAAGTAGTTTGACTTATCTGTGTTGTGACGGATTAAGAATACGGAGTGTCACCACCCCCATTTCATCCCGTGGGTGTCGTAAGAGCCAACTAAGGGAGAAAACTACGCAGAACAACAGCACTACAGAGAGAAGGAAATCTTGATACAAACCCTATAGCAACCCGTCTGGCCAGCGTGGTATACGAGTAGTAGGCAAAAACCTTCTTTCTAAGGAGAGGCAGCAGTGGACTATTAAAGGCTGTTGATGTGATGTGATGTATAAGTAAGAAGTTTAATTAATTATTAAAAGCCTAACTGGATTATATAAATAATAATATTTCCAGACATCTAATACACAGCGTCATCTAGTTTTCAAACTAAGCAGAGCTTTTACTATGTAAAGCTGGACTGAGTGATAGAATACTTATCTACTGTTTTTGTAAATATATACATATCATAAATAGAAAACATCCAAACTCTAAAACAACTATTTCCAGATCATACCAACATTTAATCGGACTCGGGAATTAAAAAAAGAAAAATTATAATAATAATAACATAATATACCTCACACATCTCACACACGGCCGTCTGATACCAAACTAGGCAGAGCCTATACTATGTTAACCAGATTGCTGATAAACATATATATTTCTAAATACACACAAATTATAGATAAATTACACTAAGACACAGAATAAATGATTATGCTCATCACACAATATTTGTCCTGGGTGGCAATCGAACCCACGACCTCCGGCTTAGCAGTCAGAGGCACTAACCACTAGACAGGCCCGTTGATAATCAAAGGTTTCTTAAAAGCAAAACTACAGCTAGTTTTATATTCTATCAAATAGAAATAGATAAGACCATAAAAGGCGATTTAATATCAAAGTCCTAGTGCAATAGGAAGGACTTTTAGAAAAGAAGAGTGAAGTGTGACGTATGAGATGTTAGTTTTATGGTGTAGGGTTGTTTATTTTGACATAACACGATAGACTAGTATTGATCATACTTTAGTCAAAGTGCTTAAAAATGACCGGTTATAAATGGAAAAAATATTTATGCAAATATACTGTGATAAAAACTGCATTAACTAACAGACATGGAGAGATAATATGCAAATTCCCCTTTTGACATCATTTATCTCACATTGTAAGAGTTTAAAGAAGCGCCGCGCCGGTTCGGCGAGAGAAAAAAAAATAGAACGACATAATTATTTGAATTGTATTAATATAAATACTCAACTCAGTAACACCTGTGACTCATGCAGCTTACTACTAGACTAGACTTATTTTAAAAAAATCATTTTGGCACTCGTTTATCACTCTACGTATATTTATTGACTATATATGACGGCACGTCTGGCGTAGTGGCTTAAGCGGTCACCCCGCCGCTTCCTACTACGCTGAGTGTTGTGGGTTCGATCCCCACATGGGACGACACTTTGTGTGATCCACAAATTAGTGTTCGGCATCTGTGTGTTCTTTGTGTCTGTTTCATGTATGTTTGTAAAGTTCCCCACGACACAAGATATTCCTAATGCGGGAGCTGTCCTTTTAATAAAAAAATAAAATAAAATTATAGAAAAAAATGTTTCATTTTTTTAGTATATATTAAAAAAAATATGAAGGTATTGTCTTGTTATGTTATATTAATTATGTGTAATATTATATATAGTACCCATTTGACTACACAGAATTTTATTAATAAATGAAATTCTTGTCCACAGGATGGCGACCGAGGTTACCTGGAAGGCCTCGCGTCTAGATATGCGGATCTCTTTTCAACACACTATGGAGATGTTTTAGACCATCTAGAGGAGTTAAGGAGACATGAATGGGATGAAATGTCGCCCAGAATGAGAGTGTTAGGAGGTCCTGGAACACCACAGACTCCTCCTTCAGCAAGTCCCGGATCGTTGGCTTTGAATAACCTGACTACGTCGCATTCGCAACCTATTTATGTGCCTGGAAAATACTCGGTGAGTTCTAGTTCGGTGAGTCAATATTCAGACACGATTTTGTAATTATGATTTTTCTTTGCCGCAATTAAAGTATGCTTTTTGTTTTAAACTGCCAAATGACATTATTTTTCTGTTTCATGTTAATATATGATGTTAAATGCTTAGTATATTTAAGTAAATTAAATTGACATTATTAAAGGATTAACAGTTAAAGAATATGAATTAAGAATTGATGTTTTTTTAAATTTATTTTGCATAGTACCGCTTTCATTTAAGAATAGTGAAGGCTGTAAGCTAACTAGTTAGTCTTTAGAGCTTCCATAGAAAATAAGCTTATTTTACCACGTCATCCATGTCTTTCGTATCTGCCTCTCTATCCCAGTACCAGTACCTAATTTACTAGAAATAATTGACGTCGGTACTTAAGACATACACCAAACGCACCAATTCTACCAACTTGATTCTTAAGTGCTGCATCATCCATACCGACATGTGTGATAGAGGCTTTGAAACTAACTTTATTTCATTAAGAATATTATTCAAATAGAATTAAAACATATACTCGTAGAACTATCTTAAGATGGATGGATGCTCTCTCCAATATTACCTTTTAATGGATAGAAGAAGGAAAGCGTCATTAATTATCTTGAAAGTGTGACGTAAATACGTATTAAAATGCGGAGAGTCTAACATTTGCAAAATGGCGGCATCACAGGAAAAGCGTCTGACAATCGTAACACATCCAATATTATGCCCCAGACGAAAATACAACGTCATAATGATGAGCTCCGCAGAGGCCTGCGGAGTAAAACGGCATGAATAAATGATAGGATCATTTCATGTAATCAGACTAAGCGGCTAAAATCGTGGCTTTATGTAAAATTAGTCAGAAATATTAGGATTTCAATATTACGAGTGACACTGACATCGTTTTTTTTTTATAATTTATCTCTTGAAAATACACGTGAAATTACATTAAGAGGATTAGATTGAAAGCTTTTTTCGCATTTGGATCAAGTTTTTACAAAAAAGTCAGCTTTTTTGTAAAAACTCTTATTACAGCTTTTTATTAGAAATTTTATTTTATATTCGTTAATGTGATTTCCTTGTCAGTGAATTCATTCTTTTTGTGATTGGACTAAATAATAATTCTACGCCTATATTTGTTTTTGCAGGTATATAGACTATTACTATATATACTGCCATCTATTCTAACATTAAAATAACATAAATATTTTTCTTTAAAGTTATAATATTTAAAGCATACTAGCTTTTCCACCCCGTGGGTGTCGGTTATAGCGGTAAAAACTAGCCTACGTAACTCGATAATAACGTAGCTATCTATTAGTAAAATATTTTTTTAAATCAGTTTATTAATCAGTTAAACAAACAATCAAACAAAAAAAATCTACTTTTACATTTTTAATATACTATAAGTATGGATTAGAATTAAAAAATATTAACGTGTGGCTTTTTGGCTTCGGCTTGCAAATATTGTATATATACGGTTGTACATAAACTTACTCATAAGTTGATCATAAACTTTTCTTTGACAGCCCTCAAGTTGTCTCACAGAGAAAGAAGAGGACGAAATATATGGGTTCGGTTACGGCGTGTTTGGTAAACAAATGCTGCAGCGGCAACAGCAACAGAAACAGTTATTGTTGGCGCAGCCCACACAACCTCTGATGCACAACCAACAACATAATTATCAAAGGTAAGTGCTTGTTTTCTTTAGTGACATTGAAAGTTAAAATAAGATCGATTTCTGTGTGATTTTCAGATTCAAAATGCAACTGTAGTAAATTCTTAGGAAAATATCTCAAAACATATATGTATAAACTAATCGTACCTGGCCACGCTTCGCTGTGGTATATTGTAGCGACAATACTGACGCAACAAATAGATAAAAATCAGCTTTGAAACGGGTTGTATATCGTGCCAAAATTTGGTGCTCAATCAGTGCAGAATATTTTGAGTTTTTAAAGCGTAGGTACATAAACCAACTTATATTTTTTTATATATAGATACATAATATGATTTTCTTTAAGACACAAACCTCTGAAAACAAAGCTACACAACCTTTTTGTTGAAAATACATTGGACAAACAAAGCGATCTAAAAAGAAGTAGGTATGTCATTATCATAACAACATGTAGGCGTGACTGTTTTAAATAAAAACTTTTTTAATAAAAAAATATTATTTGTGTGTTAATTCTTGAATGAAATAACGCATTTTTAAATTAACAAACTTTTTTAGTAATACACAAAAAATATCAAAAATGAAGAAACATTTAAGTTAACACCGATTTAGAATATGTGTGAATATGTGTGTGAATGTGTGGTAGATTGGGGTATGTGTCCATTCCTCCAATAAAGTTCAGTTCTCCGGAGTTCTTGCTGTCTTACTCGCCGTTTTAGCTAGTTCCGTAAATGCTGTATTGGGTTAACGTCTGGACTATAAATCGATTATCCCGTTCAGATGTCTTTCTTCGTCGGCCTGATCCAAGTCTTCTGATGTAACAACCTGTCTTCAGATACCTTTTGTAGGAATATTGAACCGTTGATCGTCTAACTTCACACTGTCGAGCGACATTACGCTGGCTCATTCCAGTTTGTAACAACGTTACGATTCGAACAACTTCTGCTTCGCGTAGATATGTATGAACTTATCAGTAAAAAGAAAGTGGGAGGCACAGAACTTAAATCTAATAGTCCTAGCGACAGGACACTAAACATAATAAAATAAAAGTGTGGGTCTCTAAAAAACTGATTAAATGACATTTGACACATTTACACTTAATAGTTTTATAAATCTACCCTCTACTAAGATTGTAAATGAACGTTCAAATGTATAATTTATTTTAAACAGAGCGTAATTAATGAATATATCATAAAATTAGAAGTAGCCTATTTTTTTTTTGTCCACCAGTGTATTGAATTGTATTGTGATATACGTTTCAAGTTTATTTCTAGGAAATAACAAAAGAAAAACTCTTATTTCTTTACTAACCGGTACCTGCAACTTGGTTTGCTTGGAATTTGAAAAGCGCTGCCTTAGTGGTGTAGAATGGTATGCGACTGCAGTCCATGAGGACTCGGGTTCCATTCCCGGACCGAGCAATATTTTTTAGGGTTTTGCCGAGAGGAAAAATAGTCTTTTTTACTCCTTATATAGAAAGCTACCTGGTAGTACAATATTATTAAAACCAGCCCAGCCATTTTGAAGATTAACCTGAACAAAAAGACAGACAGACAAAAATGATTTAAACTGATTGTTAGGCATAGGTATATTTCAAATAACCGTATGAGCATGAAATAAGCTTATTTTATTTATTTAATTTTATTTATTTGTACAGATAAATTACGTCATTTTCTTCATTTAGGTTTATGAAACCATTTAAATAAGCTTAGTATACAAATAAAATGAATGACTAATATAATGTAAACATATAGAATAAGCATTAAAACAACGTCATGCCATTGTTATTTCCATTTCTTGGATTCTCGCATCAGATATACATCAATTACATACCCAAATTTGAACTCCACGAAGCTGCAACAACATGTCGGCAGTTGAATTATAGCTGTCCGTCCATATCTCCTTTATACCAAAATTAATTATTAATTTCTGAAATTTTATTTTAAAATACAATGAATTAATGCGAACTGTTTAATTTATTTCTGATATATTCAATTCTACAAATAGGTTAGTAGGCAAATGGAAATTATTAAAATGCTCAGCTTTTTCAGCTTATTAACGAATTATAACACGATTTCGCTTTTGAATTAACTCCAGAGTTTATTTTAGCTTATTAAAATTCAAAGTGAATACTGAATTATTTTACGTCACCTAGATGAACGTATTAGAAGGTGATACTGCAGGCACTATACCAGATAGGTGATGTTTAAAGAATGATACGAAGTTTTCTATTTAATAATAATTCTAATAAATACCTCATTTTAATACTTATTACTATAAGAAGTATCAAAGAAAATTATTGATAGAGAATCTTCTCTTTCTCCTAACAAGCGAATTCCTTAAAAACGTCAAGAGAAATATTGTTTAAAAAAATTAATTAACTTTAAAAAAAAACGATTACAAAGCGATTCCACTCAAATTATAACAACAAGTATAACTCACAATCAACCCTGCGAATACCAACATAACCGAAACGACTTAATCCTTTAAAGAAATTCGCGGTCGGCTTACACGAAATGTTAACGATAACGAGAATGGCCGATGGTCATAAATTATTAGGACCTTAACAGGTGTATTCGTTAGATAAGCTTTTGCGCTGCATGTTTAAATGCTAATCTAAATTGAAATCAGACATTCGATTGGCGACAGAAGCGGCCTCCAAGTTGAGAATAGTTGTTGTTATGTACGGTTAATGGGAGAAGCCAACTGCATTATTTTAGAATGAGTATATGTGGGAGTCTAACAAAAAAATACTATCCAGGAAGAATGTTTTATGCATATTAGTTTTGTTTAAGGTTTTAGACAAATTTAAATAACATTTAAAACAACAGGTTTTATCAATAAAACCTGTAGCTTACCCACTATGAAACATATACCTACAACAACTATAGCACAAACGCATTCGTCAATCTACCTGACGCGATGTCCCTGGAGTAAGTTCTCATTACAACGGTGGTGTAAAATAAATTCAAATTAACCCTGATGGATATTTCCGGCGAGCAGGAATGTTACGCCGGCGAGTCCACATCGGCTTTATTGCTTCAATTTCAGATTTAAATCATTAACAGTATTCTCGAATATGTGAATTATATCTGATAGTATTATTTCAAAATGTGACAATTACATTTATGCACGGTTAAACACTGTTATGCGATATTTATTGGACTTCTACAGCTTTATAGTAATGTGTTGTATAAAATCTGATATTTCAGCTACCATGTGATTGACAACTTAATCACTACGCGTACTTACGGCCAGCGCAGACTGAGAGGAGCGCACCGGAGAGGATTTTTTTTAAGACATTCGGAAATAAACTTTAAAACTATTGCTATAAAATGCATGGCTCGAGGCCGCAGGAGCATTTTTCGTCATGTTCAAATGTCTATGCACTTTATAACAATAGTGTTACAGTTTATTTTCGAGTGTCTTAAAAAAATCTTCTACGCTGCGCTCTTCTCGGTCTGCTCTGGCTCTTACTGGTAGCGTGCGCTTTCCCGGCGCCCTGTTTCAGACAGATCATCACGACAAAATGTAAAACAATGTATTGGATGAAAGAAACTTATTTGTATTTTGTATTTGTATATGATTGTAAAAATATAGAAATTACCGTTCCAATTTTTTTAAAGTTCCAATTTTTTTTAAAGATTTTATCAAACGGAGTTAGTTACTTCCATCGTATTTCGTAGTGGAAATTGCCTGTGCTTCTGTTCTTTGCTTTCTTTATTAGTCTTTTATTTTATTTAATTTTCCATTTTTTATGTTTCACTTAACTTTCTTTGTTCCATTTCTTGTTTTCTCTACATTGCCTTTTTACCTTTTAGTCCTTAAAACTTACATACTCGCACACATCAAACCAATGTTGTGTATATTTATTGATGCGATTGTTATCTGTTGGTTAAAAAGAGTGGCCGTGAGATTGTTTGCCCTTTTTCTTATGATGCTCAACCCCTTGGAAATAAGCAACGAAAGAATAACCTAACACTGGTTTTCCGGGAGGCCGTGGTATCAGTTCAGTCGAGTCAGTCATTTTATATGAAGTTTAAACAGAGCTTAGATATTAATGTTCAAGACATTCGTGTTATTTTATACAGAAATTTCAATCCATCCAATAAATTACAAAAAATATAAAGGTTTAAATGTAAGTACATAAAAGTGTTTGAACATTTGCGTTTGAAGTGCACGTATTTGTGGGAGTCAGGAGTCCGAAACTAGGATACCCTGTGCTATGGACTCCTGGCTCACCCGTCTCATATTAGGAAATTATTTTACAGTGTTCACAGTGGGAGAATAAATTAAGGAATTTATCCTTTATTCATAGACTTTTGAAGTACGTCTCTTTTTTAAATAAGAAATACAAATGCTCTGGCATAGACGGATTAAAAATGTAGAAACATGGCGGGCGAAATGTGTACATTGTGTGTTTGAAGTGATCATAATGTGACCCGGTTTTCTTTGGAATGAAACACATGTAGAAATTATTAAACGCGAAACTACCTAGAAAACGTTTCAGTACAATCTTCACCATTAAATATTCGCATACAATCTTGAACACATTGTGTATTCTCATTGACGTAGTCATTAATGTTACGACTGTATAATATATATGAGGTACTTTCTCTGTAAAAAATAAACATGGGTACATTTTTTTTCAATTTAATTGAAAACTTTTGCTAATGGATAACGGATGGAAGTTTTACATAAGCAGGCTGTTCTATGGTGTGTAATATTTGAAATTTAAAACATACTAAATCAACAATTCCGTAGATAGCATATACTTGCCGATGCAAACGACCCGGAATAGGTAACACTCCGGTGTGACCACGGTCACCCTGAGATGTGCCTCAACGTTAAGGAGGACTCCAAAAGACGCTGATGCGTTCCTGGAGCTTCTTCGGACAGCTGCAGTAGGCTTAGTGGACCGTTTCTCCGGGAGTCCTACACAATACACGCCCTCCGTCTGCCCAAGGGAGGGTATGGTGTGAAAAGCATTCCGTATCGTATCGTATATATATAAC